TATATATATATATATATATATATATATATATATATATATATATAAAGGTATAATAAACCCTTCCCACACTCTTGCAATATTCTAAATAATGTTTCTAAACTCTCTAAAAGAGCACAGAATGTCATGATCTCAGCTCTCTGCCTTGGCCGCTCTCTCGGCCACGCCCACTTCTCCACTCTGCATGGAGATCAGCTGATCATCTGCAGGAGGAAGCTTCTCCCACAGCTGTGGGCTGCACACAGGTGCTAAATCATTTAAAATAATTTATTTTAATAAAAAAAAAAAATCCATGCTGATTGTGTGGCTCATCCATCCATCAGCTAATTGTGCGTCATGCCCAATCTTATTTTGGAAATACCACGATAGAGCGAGACCGCGAAAAACGAACCATGAAGTGGCGAGGGACTACTGTAAAGGTCGTATTGGTTTGTGAACTGTATTATACTGATATTCATAGACTGAGTGAAACAACTCTCTTCCTAGCTTTTTTACTCGTAATCATTAGTGTTCACATTCCTATTAAACTTTTTCAGAAATAAGGGAGTGATGATGAAAACTGCTGATAATAAATACAATGGTGGAAATGTTTACCTGAAGAAGGATTAATGTCATGTGTTTTTGTGCCAACAAAGGACTTTGAAATCACATTTTTCATTCTCCCTGTAAAGAAACGTCTTGCTTTTCCGAATTAAAATAGCTGTCATTATTTTTCCAAAGTTTATTCTAATGCCATTTTGATGTTTTGTAGGCAGCCTAATTTCCTGTCCTCACTGAGGCAATGAGTGCATTTTCTTGTTGGCCTTGATCTTGTTTTGTGGCTCCCATCAACATGTTGAAAGGTCTGCTCACATTTTCTGCCATTTTCCTGATATCTTTGTTACGCCTGGCAACAAAAGGACACATTTCAAGGTTGGCAAACATTTTTGTCTTATGTTTACTCACACAACAATCTGCTTTTTGCATTAACAATTAAACAAAAATTAACTACTGTGTGTATCAGACCTACTCACTCTTGAAAATCAGTTTAGTTGTATTTAGAGATTAGCGTCTGAGGCCAATGTCCAGAATTGATGGGAGGGGTGTCTTAATAAACTTCTCCACCGTTCTTACCACCCTCAAATCCTTCCAGTCTGCAGCCGGGCAGCTTCCTTCCCTAACTGAGGTGCAGGTGGTCATGATGTTCTTGATGGTTCCTCTGTAGAATGTGGAGAGGACATGGGGTGGGAGGTGTGCTCTCTTCAGCCTACAGAAGAAATGCAGACACTGCTGGTCTTGGGACCCAGTGTTTCTTGAGCAAGATAGATGATTGGTTATGTGCACCCCCAGGAACCTGTGCTCTCCACCACCTCCACCTCTGTGTTATTTATGAACAGCGGCATGTGATGTGGTTTTGTTTTCCTGAAGTCGATAATGAGCCCAATATTATGTATAAACATTATCAAATGTTTGACATTTTCAGTTGATTTCCTTTATTTTCACTCAGGCTTTTAAATTTTATTTTTTCAGGTCTCTCTTGTAAATGAGTCCCTGAGACTCAATGGGATTAACCTGCATAAATAAAGGTTGAATGTTTTTTTTTTGTTAGCATTGTGGCAAAACATTTCTAGCACACAGTATTTTGTGTGAGTAGTCTTGACAAAGATACATTGTTTCCATTTCTTACGTTTTAGCTAAAAATAGTTGTCATCTTACAGAATGGTGATTGTCTGAATACGTATTCCTTAATGTCTGACCACTCCGCTGTTTATCTGCTTTTTACAGAACATCTTATTGCCTTAATTATTATTTTCTGTAATGCATATGGTGTTCTGCTTAGTGGCTGGCTTTGTATAGTTTAATATTGCTTGAATTATTGTACTGAATATCACATAACCCTTTCTGGAATGTGCAGCTTCTAGCTCTGACTACATTAAATGATGCTGTGCTGCCAAGAAATGGTGTAAACTACGTAGGCATGTTGATCTTTGACAGGCTTTCCAGGTCACTGGTTTGCTAATAATGCAAAAATAGTTTTAAATGAATGCCTAAGATATTTAGTTTTCGTGTCATGAGGCCATTAGAATGTAATTTGACTGAAAAACTGAAGTTCAGGCTGCCATCTTTGATTAGTTTAACTAGAAAAATCTGTTGAATCGTCATGAATTGTATTTTTAAACAATTCAATAAAATACATTAAAAAGCATTCAAGTTCCTGCCCTGTTGACATTTTTACAACCTTTCAGGAAATGTTTATGTACTAACAGGCCACACTGGAAAACAGCAGTTTGATGCTTGAACCTACTTTTAGTCCTGACTTTGTTCTGGAGCATTGTGCCTGTGGCTCTGTCCTTACTGACCACAGGCAGTGTGTGCCGACAATTGTAATAAAACACCTTGGCTGTTTAAAAGACAACAATACATGCTGTGGAATTGCAGTAAAAAAAAAAAAAAAAAAATACGATTTTACGCATTAACTTTTTGGTATTCATAAAATCATGCAGTTTCAATACATACAGTATTATTATTACCCATTATTACCCATTATCAATTGGATTAACCTGTATAAATAAAGGTTGAATGAATATTAGCTGAAGCACATGGCTGCTCGTTGAGAACTAACAATGCACTGTTTGTTTCTGTTTTAAAAGAGCCATTTTTTAAATTACAGATGCACATGATGAGTGGTGTTGAGACAATATGAGTGTTGTTGTGTCCTAAGCTCCAACTGTACTCAACACAAGGTGTAGTTCAGTATAAATGTTACTGTTTAATTAATAAAATGTTCTCTTTGTCTGGCTATTGAGGATAAAACTCAAGTCATTGAACTAAAATCCTACCAAGATCATGATACTTTATTTAAAAAGGAAGATTTTTTTTACAGATATTGCATTGCTCGGTCTCATGTTTTTAATAAAACACACCTTAATCTAAAGTACAACACAATCCCAATACAGACAGAAAAAAGTAGACTAAAATGGTCAAGTCCTTGAACCAAAAGGTAAAGTCATCCGAATGAACAGAAATGTCTTCCTCTAAGAATTCAGACGGTGCTGTCAGCAGTGTGGATTGGGGTTTGGGGATCTCTGTGACCTTCTCAGTGGCCTGAATGTGTGTTGGCATGGCATGACTGATGCAGATTATCATAGCTGGAGAAAGCCAATTACTCCAGTCATCACTGCTCCCTCAGGGTTTCTCTTGGTGGAATGAAATGCATTACAAAATTCTCTGTGCAACCTTCTGACAGTGTTTTGTATTTCAGTGCTGATCCCCTCAGTTTGAGCGTTAATAGCGCAGTCAATGGGACCCACCCAAGCTTCATAGCCCTCTACGGCTCCAATGAGCTTCTGCTCTACAAAGCAGGGAGGTCATGCCTTTTGGAGAAGTGGATGAATTACAGTCTCCTCTGTTTGTCTTTCTTTATTCAAGACAAAGCCTTTTTTTTATTTTGGTGCCTGCTTAAAGCTCATCTCATTCAGTGTCCTTGAACAACTACTGAATGAATAAGTTGGGTTTCGTAGTTGAGGTGTAAAAACCCCTGCTGTAATATTTCGTGAAACAGAACGAACAGAAGCTAATTGGAAATTTGTTCTGCTTGGTGTTGCATCCAAAACAGATTTGCTACAAGACTGGAAGAGCTGAGATCACAGAGCACAACGCTGCATCTGTAGGATGTACAAAGACTACAGATCAAGTCGAGTCACAGGTGAGAGGCCTTTACTGCCACTGTATAATTTATTGGTTAGTCTTCTTACTCTGTTGGATTCCAGAGTTCCTGTAAATAATGCTGAAGATAACAAAGATAACTTACAGTCCAGATTTTTCTTTTAAACACAAAAAAGATTGGGATTTTACAAAAAGTGTTTTTTTTTTTCATTATGGATGTTTTTTGTATTTCATCCACCCAGAAACATTTCACGCATTCATACATTTGAGAATTAAAACTTTCCTAGAATTTGCTTTTTATTTTCACGTTTATATTTTTAAGCCTATCTGCTGCATTCCTTATATTACTATTAAAACTCCAAAGTATTTATCGTATATAACCTTTGTTTTTTGGTCTAACATAAATAATGTCATATTTACAGTGAAACACAGGCACAAGACTGTTGTGATTCATTTTCTTTGTGAACCTCATGTGTTCACAAACCTCCACACATGTGCAGAAATGAACTTGAGAGTCAGAACACAACATATTGCATACTGTATATGGAAAATTGCATACTGGTATTTGTTAATAATTTACTACAGATGTTGCAATTTCAGCTACAGTAAAAAGTAATGCAGTTCAAAGAAACATCTTCAGTGTACATCAAAGAATATTTCACTTGGTAAATTATAACTTACTTTGCAATGATATAAAAGTAAAACTGAAATTTTACTTTAGCAAAGTGGCCATTACATTATTTACAGACACCAACTTGCTCCAGAATTTGGAAACTTTTTTTTTTTTAAAACAAGGTATTTTTATTTATTTTTTTCTTCACACAAACACAACAAAGAAAATAACAGAATAAAATCCCCTCCCGCCCCTCTCCACTCACACCAGATCAGTCATACATACACAACTAGCCTAGCAGGCGTTGACACAAAAGGCTACCAGGTGTCCCAGAATTTTTTTTTACCGAACCTTTCAGGGTATATCAAGTTTTTTTCAGATTACTATGCTACACCACTTCTCGTATCCAGTGTACATATGCTGGGGGTTGTGGGTCCTTCCATCTGCACAAAAAAAGGCTTCTGGCCAGAAGAGAGCCAAAAGCAATCACATCCTTCTCATACTTGCTGAGGGACGTATCCACAGGGACCACCCCGAACAGTGAGATGAATGGTGATGGATGCACAGTTTTCCCACACATGCCAGAGAAGGTGTCAAAAATAGATTTCCAAAAGGTCTGCAGTTTGTGACAGGCCCAGAATGTATGCAAGAACGTAGCTGGAGTTTGTTTACAATGATTACATGTGGGGTCCAGGTCGGCTTTGATCTTGGACAACTTGTCTTTGGACCAGTGCAGCCGGTGCACCACCTTGAACTGGATTACTGGTACAGCATGTCTCAGACAGATTGAGGATAAATACATGTTTTGAGTGATCTTTTGACAGATTGAGTCTGATATGGATTTCTCCAAGTCTGTTTCCCATTTCAGTTTAAGATGGTCCAAACTGGTCTCGTGGTATGAACTGAGCCGAATTTGGAACCTTTAACTTGTTTTCATCATCGTTTCAAAATTAAGGATCACAGTGAATTTATTGCTGGGATTAAACTGGTAGCTGGAAATAGTGAAGAAAAAAAATTGGGCTCTGTACTTGTTCAGCATTGCTATACTCATACGGGGAACGAGCACTACTTTGCACGGCCTCACCAATCTTGTTGCTTGTTAGGATATCTCCATATAGGCCTCCTAATGTCTTCTTTTCTGCCATTCCACATAACTAGAAAGAGTGCTCAACACATGAAAAGACAGTGATGACATTCATTTAACAGATAATTAGCTTTTACATAACCATGGTATTCATTATGTATTACATGAGGCGTGATATTACTATGTTTCACTAACTATCTGTGATCCCTTTCTTTAAACAATGGGATCCTGCAGTACTTTGTGTGAAAGTAGAAACTGAAGCGAGTAAGAAACTGACAGATTACTTAAGAGAAAAGAAGGAGAGGAGGAATGAAAAGCTCCTTTTTTTTCTGGGCTTTGGCCAATGAGCGTGTCCTTCCCCATTACTCTTACATGGTGCAATATGCAGGTCAGTCAGGCGATAATGAATGCTCTGCCTGATACTTGGACTTCCTTTTTCCCTCCAGCATGTCTTGGTTATTTTCTCTTTTAGTTTGCCCCTACATTAGATTAGTATACTTCCATTGGTTCAGTTCTTTGTCAATGTCTGCATTTGTTACTAACAAATGGAAATAGTTTATATGTGAAACTGAAAGTTTAGTTTTCCCCACCAAACAAATAAAGAATACTGATTTTAACTTAAGTCATCTCCCCTTTAAAGATGATTTTGCTACATTTAAAAGTAAAAAAAACAATGAAAGACATTTTGGTTTAAATGTTTTACTTTAGTGTCAAAGATGCACACATAAATAGATAAAATAGTATTTATTTAATCCAGAAATATCTGCAGTACATCCAGATGTTGGGCAGTAACTGTCGGATACTGCATTCAAGAATTTTTTTGTAAATATTTATTTACTGTAATAATAAAGTATGAAATGTACATATTATTACTTTTTTGGGGGGAAATTATACATAAAAACAATATATAAGATGTCAACAAAATCTTAATGTATCAAATATTTCTGAGGTGATCAATAGTTTCTGTTCATCCCAATGTTATTTTCTTGTTTTGCTTTTAATTCTCTTTAGAAGTGTAACAATTGGATGTTCAGTAATAATAAAAATGTTACTTGGGAACTGTTTAGAAGTTATTTGTATGTATACTGTGGTGAATATTTGTTTCCTTAGGGGATGAAGTTAGTGACAACTCACAAATTTAAGACAACAAACAACAAAAACCCAGCTTTTAACAAGGTATGTTATAGTTTTGACCATATTTTTGGACTATAAGGCACACTTAAAAATCCTTTAAATTTCTCCAAAATTGACAGTGAGCCTTATAATCAGGTACGCCTTTTGTATTAATTGTGGTTGTGCTTACTGACCTCAGACCGATTTTATGTGGATATTGTGAATGAGTTGAATAAAATTTGACTTATCTTTGTTTTGTTTCGCTTAATGCGCCTCATAATCCGGTGCGCCTTATGTATGAAAACAGACCTGTTCATTAATAGTGCGCCTTATAATCCGTTGGCCTTAAAGTCCAAAAAATACGGTATACAAAGTGCAGCGTCTTTACGGTGAAGATGCTTTAAAGGTTAAAATAAAAATGCATATCTTCACTGCTGGTAGCATCAGTAATTATTGAATAACTGATGAAATTTCATCACAGCTAGATTATTCTTTTGTTGTGCAAGGATGTGAAGAGTTCAACTCCTAAATAAAATATATTTAAAGAGTATTTAATGGAGAAAGTCAATTAGATTTGCACAGTTATAAGGTTTAATTTGTGACTGTGGAAGACTTCACCACTTAAACATCAACAATTGATCTGTTTTAGAAAACAGTCAAATGGTCCACAGTGACAGTTGTTGGTTACTTTTTTTTTACCTTGAATTTACAGCCACGTTTCGTTTATCGTATTCAAAAGTAAAAATGTTGCTTCCTGACCAAAACAAAAAGATGGTCTTTTTTTTACACTTGCAGCCAGACTTCATTACTCTCTGGATTTTCAAAAACATGACATATTTACTTCAGTGTCTTGTTTTCAGACGAACTGATATTAACATCAATTTAATAAAGTTTTCCAAGTTTTCTATCATTTTTTTCTTAAGGTTCTTAAGTTTAGTACGTTTTTGAGAGTCAGAGGCTTAATTAAAAATCCCTTTTGTGTAAAATACTAATGCTAAATATCACAACAAGCTACCTGCACAACATCGCAGATGAAAATTTCGAATCATTATAGAGTCCAGTTGCTCCTATAAGCTGATTAGCTCTTTATCGGTGGTCTTACAAGCTTTGGATGCAGAGTGTTGAAGTTGTTGAACAAACAAACCCAATATGAAACAACCTGTTCTTGGGGCTATTTTGGTGGCCATATATGAGTGGTGTTCAAGTTGAGTGGTTCTCTGGCTGTGACTGATCGAAGAGCAGCAAGCATTGCTAACAACATTTCAGCAGCACAAAGGGGTTAACGGTTGTTTTGCACTCTGTGTGAGACCCATTTCCATCAATATTCATGCTGGGGGGAAATTCTCTGGAGAAAGTCCTGGCCTCCTTTTGGATTTAGTCTGATCTGTTTTCCAGGACAGCTTCTTTTGTCACCAAGGCGCCTGCTGTAGTTCCCTCCTCTCATATGATCAAGGAAACCACAACAAATGGTGTTCTTCAACTCAGAACATGTTGTTTCCAGTTACTTCTTATGATGTCTTGTTACTCCTCCACAACTCATTACTATTATTCAAGCAGGGATATGTAAAGCTTGTGTAATGAGGCGAGACTGAAGCTGGGGAGTCACCTCAACCTTTCCTGCCCAGATGATCACCTGCTAACCATCAGCCATTCTGCATAGATGTGAAACGAGAAGAAAGACAGTGAAAAGGTAAAACAAAATTAGAAGAAATGAGGAAGATAAAGGTCAAAGTTAACCCTGCGAACCCCAGAGAGACAGAGACCTCTCCTCTTAACTTCAACAGTCATACAGAGCACTCAAATATTTGTCACTTGGCACGATTGTCGATGCAACCCCCACATTAAAAACGTTACTGGAACCGCCTTCTTCCACCTGCGTAATACCACTAAAATTAGAAACATCATATCTAAAAATAATGCAGAAAAACTGGTTCATGCATTTGTCACGTCTAGACTGGACTATCGCAATGGTTTGTTATTTTGGTGTCCAAAAACTTCTTTAAAAAGTCTTCAGTTGATCCAAAATGCTGCTGCCAGAGTCTTAACTGGAGTTAGTGGGAGAGATCATATTTCTCCAGTTTTAGCTTCTCTCCACTGGCTCCCTGTCAAATCCAGAATTGAATTCAAAATCTTATTTCTAACCTACAAAGCCCTCAACAACCTAGTTCCATCTTATATTTGAGATCTTATTGTTCCATATTTTCCTAGCAGAGCACTTTGCTCTCAGACT